ATGAAATCTAATCCCTTGATGTTCGTGATCGGCAACGTCGGCTTCCACCTCAACGCCCCTATCTGCAGCTGCAGTGTTGACTTGCCGTGGATGGGAAGCTTCGTACCGTCCACCATCGTTGCTGTAAACTGGGTTTCTTCTGAGGATTCTCCAATTTTCTCCAACATCCCACGGTCGCACACCGAGTGGGACGCACCACTGTCCACCAGGGCCTGGAGGCGACGCCCGTTGCAGATCACCTCGAGTACTAGTGGTTGTTGCTGCTCCGAGTATCCGTAGATGGTATCGCTTATAGGATCGTAGGGTACGTCGAATATGTTATCCCTAGGTCCTGCGCTCGAAGATGCAGCTTCAGTATCAGTTTTCAACTGAGAAAGGTTAGAAGGATTTATCCGAGGCCGATTCGGCTTCTCTTGGGCCTGGAACCTTCCACTAAGCCTTTGCAGCTGTGTAGGCTTCATCTGTGGGGAACAGGGAGTCTTTAAACAGTGCTGCTGGGAGAGAATATTAACTCCTCGGAACGCTCGACCCGTATTAGCGCTCTGGAGTAGGGTCCCCATAATACCCGGTACCGGTTTAATTTCTGACTCTCCCTTAATAAAGGCTTGAAACCCACGAGAAGTAATATTCTTACTTGTCGGGGTATACGGCTGGAGTTTCCCGGTCGGTGCAGGGTCTTGTTTCGCGGATCCTCCATTAGTCTCGGCGATTTCCCCTGGTGCCGGCTGGTCGTGACGTTTTAAATTTGCGCCACCATATTCTCCTTTTTTCGCCCTCTCCGAAGTTGCCACGTTGTCCGTTTTCTGCTTCGGGGGTGCCGCACTGTTCTTGTCCTTCAGCTCCGCACACCTTCTCTTCATTTTCCAACACGCCAAGATACGATGTCCTGTAGCGCCGCAAAATTTGCACGTCTCATTATTTGCTAGCCGCTGCTCCACATCGCTCTCGTCGTTCTCCATTGGGTCGGCAGCCGTGGGTGGTGCCAATCGCCCCATGCCACTAGTTGGCTTGTTGCGTCGTGTTCCGTAGTAGCTACTGTTCAACGTGTCGAACTGTTCGATCAGTGCTGCCGGAAACTGCGCCCACGTCCCCTCGCCTTGGACTATTCTGTTGTTGATCCACTCTAGAGCTGGGCCTCGTAACAGTGTTGCTGCGAGCCGTATGCGCATTGCGTCTTTTGTCGGGGTCGTGCATCCAACGGCTTCGAAGTAAATTTCGAGTTCAGCTACAAATCGACGAACGTCGTTCCTTTTTACTGTAGGACTGAACGCCTCCGGTAGCCTCGGCTTCACTGCTTCGAGGTTAACTGTAGTTGCTGCCGTTGTCGCAGGTAGAGTTGTCGGTGTCGCCGCTGCTGCTGCTGCTACTGTTGTCGCTGCTGCTGTGGCGGTTGCCGACTGGTTCGCAAGGAGTTTTTCGAGTCGTGGGAGCGCCGCATGTATTTGCTTATGCTCAGCACGTAACTCCGCGATTTTCTGTACTGAAATATCTCTTTTTCCCTCCATTTGACGATTTTCAGAAAGATGCGCGACGAAAATAATCGAATTCTAGGTGCTGGTCGACTTACTGCGAGTCAAGTTGACTGTAGAATCGACGAGCGCGAATTCTGTAGGTCGCGTAAATCTCTCTGAGTCGAAACTCGCGTTCGATCTCGGCCGTTGAGGAGAAACTCGATCCGACGCTCCAAATTCCAACTTTTTTTGGGCGAAATTCTCTGGGCCGTTGAGATGAAACTCGATCGAACGGTCGAAACTCCAACCTTTCCACCAGTAAATCTGAGGGGTGTTCGAAAACCGAATCGAGGGGGACTTAGAAAAATTGCGCGGAACTGGTTTTACATACCCGTATCGGCGCTTTCGTCGTCGCCCCAGCGGTTTTTTAAAGGCCGGAACTAAGCGGTTGAAGACCTCGCGTGTAAACCCGCTCTGATTACCAAGTGTGAGGATCTAGGATCGAGCTCAGAAAAGAGAATGTGAATTGAATTGAATGAATCACCTGGGTACAACACGAGGCTATATATAGGCTCGACACAAGGCCCCGTAACCAGGTGTTACGCGAAGGTTCCGCGGGTCGCAAAGCGTCCCGAACAGATCCTTACCGAATTCGGTAGGAGGCAATTCGGTGGCAACCGAAAAGCCAGAATTCGGTGCACGCAACCTAGCTCGGTGCTATAACTATAATAAAATATAGGAAAGCACCTAGCCTAGGAAATCAAGCAATTCATGCATGCATATGATTATCCTATGCTAGAAATAGCATAATAAAGTAAAGGCAAGCAAACATAGCTGGCATAAGCCGTCGTACTCTCACAGACGCGGGCTGGGCCCCACACGTCCAGGTGGAGAGTCTGCAGTGGAGCCTCTGTGGGAGGGAACGAGGAGGAGTGAGGAGCGGCGCGCTGCCGCCCCTCGACGCAAGGAATGCAGGGCGGCGCAGGCGAGGGAGGGAGGGCAGGCAGAGACCTGGGAAGGCCAGAGACCAGGAAGCGAGAGTGCATGCTATGAAGCCGAGGCAGGGAGGGGTGACCAAGGCGGTGGTGCCACAGGAGAGTGTCGTGCGACAGGCGGCGACACTCACACTGGGTAGCTACCTGAGCAGACGCGTACAGCTGGGGAGACAAAGGGGTGGAGCGCGACACAGTGGTGAGGGTGTACAGACTGGACCCAGGCGCACGTGTGAACGTGGCCAGGTGGCGGCCGGTCCGAGAGCACGTGCAGATCGCCACACGCTGCCCTCCAGGAGTAAAGGTGTCAACCCAGTGATCCTGAAGGACGGCGTTGCTCACCAAGTTCGTAGAGAACGAGGGGAGGTGGAGACCAGACAGCTCACCAGACGGGACCGCCGGACACGGAAGCACAGTGGAAGACCGTGCAAGCACTGGGCCCCCAGAGGGGTCAACTAGTGAGACAGGGACAGGGCAAGGAGGGGAGTGACTATGGTGCTGTCGCGAAAGAAACAGCGGGAAGCACCAGAGTCAATTTTAAAGGTGTGCAAGGCCTGTGCGGACACAGTACCAGGGAGAGCAGACTCACTAGCACTTAGAGTTGCAGGCGCTATACCTGGGGCTATACCGGGGTCAGGCGGCACACACAAGTAGCAGTCACCCTCAGCACTAATAGTCAATGCATACATGGCAGCAAGAATAGCATCATAGTCAAGATCAAAGATAGGTACATCACGCCTAAGCAGATCTGCCCAGTTGGGGAACTCAGTAGCATCAGGAAACTTGACGCGCCAGGCGTCGCTAAGCCGAGCGAAGCAGCGGTACTCAGTGTGAAAGCCGGTGCACTGGCGACCAGCGCGGGGACCTGCGCGAATGATACAGGGGCAGCGAGCAGGACCCCCAGACGCCCCCACGCCCGGCATACCAGTCAAGAAGCTGCTGGGAAGTGGGGGTCTGGTGCTGACGCTGCTGCGGCTGCTGCTGCTGGTGCTGTTGTTGCTGCTGCTGCTGCTGCTGCCCCTGACCACCACTGGTGTCACCCAAGCCCCCACCACCACCGCCACCACCACTCCCCCCTCCGCCACCACCGCCGCCGCCACCGCCACCGCCACCGCTCCCGGCAGCACCACTGCCCCCACCACCACCTCCACCCCCACGACCACCCCCACCACCTCCACCTCCCCCGCCACCTCCACCACCGCCCCCTCCACCGCCACGTCCGCCACCCCTGCCACCCCTGCCTCCCCTGGAGCCGCTGCGCTTCCCACTAGGAGCGGAAGCAGCTGCGACCTTCTCAGCACCAAGGAGGTCGACAGCAGCACCTCCGGAGGCAAAGGAGGGGGTAAGAGGGGAGGGGGAGCACCCCTCAAAGAGGGGAGTGCGAGGAGTACCACGAGCAGCACCTACAACGAGGATGTTCTTCTCTGCTGCTAGGAGGTGCTTCTCGAAGTCGGCGACAGTGAGAGTGGTAGGGTCTAGGGCTAAGAAGTGGTCCCTGACGGAGCTAAGAGTGTCAGGGAGGCGGGTGACGAGGAAATAGAGAGTGAAGTACATCGGGGGGGGGGTTCTCGGCACAGAACTCGGCTGGAAGGGCGGCACGAAAGCGAGTGTCACTAGCGCGAAGGTGAGAAATGAGGTCCTCAGCAGTGGTAAACGAGGACAGGTCTGGGAACAGATAGGGTAGCATGAGCCGACCTAGGGCTGCAGTGGCCGGGGAGGAGTAGCGCGCAACTACAGCGTCATACAGTGCCTTAGCAGTTTTGTGCTAGCTGAAATGCGCGCGCTCAGTGATCGGCAGATGATTTCGAATAGCTAGACGTGCAGCAGCATCGCGAGTCTGCCAATGTGAGCGTTCGAGAGCGGTAGCATCGTCAGCAGGAGCAACGGCAGTGCCAGACGCGTAATCGAACAGTGAAACGCTGTCTTTGGCATCAGTCAGAAGAAACAGTTGGAGATCGTCTGGCCACGTGGTAAACTCTATCGGGCGATCGTCAGGCTCAAACGCGAGAACATTAAGTGTCGCCATAATCGCTGTGCAGACAAAGGCAGTAGGCAAAGGCAGTAGGCAGCAGGCAGCAGGTAAAGGGCACGAGCAGTAAGGGTGGAGGAAGGGCAGTACGAGGGCTGCTCAGGCAGTACGAGGGCTACTAAGGCAGCACAAGGGCTACTAAGGCAGCACGAGGGTTGTTAAGGCAGTGGGAGGGCTGTTAAGGCAGCACGAGGGCTGTTAAGGCAGTGGGAGGGCAGTACGAGCACTGCTTAAGGCAGTGGGAGGGCAGTGCGCGGGGCTGACGAGGCAGCGGGCGGACTCTGCGGGCGTCGCACGGGGCTGACGAGGCAGCGGGCGGGCTGTGCGGGCGTCGCATGGGGCTAACGAGGCAGCGGGCTGGCTGCGCGCTCACGGGTCAGTACAAGCAAGGGGCGGGGTAACGCGGTAACCGGTGGAAAACGGTTGGTGGGCCCTGAAAAACAGTCCTAAAACGGTCCTAAAACGGTCAAATAACAAAACCTATACCCTACATTAGCTACCCCACTAAAGCCTACATTTTATTATGACATGGCATATAGTTTGACAGAGGGATGGGCGGAGGGATGGGCGGAGGGATGGGCGGAGGGATGGGCGGGGGGATGGGCGGGGGGATGGGCGGAGGGATGGGCGGGGGGATGGGCGGGGGGATGGGCGGAGGGATGGGAGGAGGGATGGGCGGAGGGATGGGCGGAGGGATGGGCGGAGGGATGGGCGGGCCTGGAGACAGCATGGGAGGTGGTATGGGTGGTTTACAGTAGTCTCTCCTGCTCTGAGCAGGGGCAGTTACGAGCCTGACCGCACCCCAGATGGCATTCTCAGAGGCGCATGGCTGCAGCAGCACTTCCAACGGAGTGCCGCCAGCAGTGCTGCTTCGTCCAAGCTCCTCCTATCAGCCTTTACATGTTCACAACACAAATATGGTACCGGTACTCGCGCGGGGGGAGGGGGGGGGTGGAGGGGAGGGCATGCTCAGCCAACTTCCCTAGCCATGGATCTAATAAGACCTCGGCATAGGAGGACTCTGATTGTGAGGATGCGGGCGTGGAGCAGAGCAGAGTACAGTTTGTATGCAATTGGAATCGTCGAAATCCAATGTGAAAACTGTGCGCGGATTCCTCTCTTGCTTTTGAGGCGCCTCAAAAGGATTCCTCTCTTGCTTTTGAGGCGCCTCAAAAGGATTCCTCTCTTGCTTTTGAGGCGCCTCAAAAGGATTCCTCTCTTGCTTTTGAGGCGCCTCAAAAGGATTCCTCTCTTGCTTTTGAGGCGCCTCAAAAGGATTCCTCTCTTGCTTTTGAGGCGCCTCAAAAGGATTCCTCTCTTGCTTTTGAGGCGCCTCAAAAGGATTCCTCTCTTGCTTTTGAGGCGCCTCAAAAGGATTCCTCTCTTGCTTTTGAGGCGCCTCAAAAGGATTCCTCTCTTGCTTTTGAGGCGCCTCAAAAGGATTCCTCTTTTGCTAGACCTGTGCCTTGTTGGTAAGACAATTGTCATCCATCCACAGGGATATTCTAGAGGTATCCATTCATCTTTTATAAACCCCTCTTTCATGGAGCTGGCCATGGGTGTACGATTTCAGCGGGCTATCTAGGATACTGAAGTTGTCAAAAGAGGTACGATATAATAGGCCCAATGAAAGTGTTATCAAATGCATCCTGATACATCTTATCGCCAGGGCTGACGATTCAAATATGGGTACCCTGTTTTCAATCCCCCAAAAAAATCTTCAACTCCTGACAAGCCACCTCAGCTTTCTCTGCCCACACAAAATCCTTCTCCTTGTGCAGCAGGTTGGTTAGCAGGTCAGTTATCCCCGCCATATTTACGATAAACCGCTTACCGTAATTCATGAACTCCAGAAAACTCTGAAGTTCCGTCTTGTTAGTCGGGGACCTCTACTTATGTATAGTCTTGATTTTTGCCAGGTCAAATTTAATGCTGTCGAGTGAGTTGATGTGTCTCAAAAACTCCAGCTCATGCTTAAAGAATTCGCACCTAGAGCCCTTGGTTCTCTTGTAGCCACTTCAATACTACGTCGAGGTCGCGGAGGTGTTGTTCCCTTGTCGAGAGAATCTCGAAAAACCCTGTTCATGGTCAGTTGAAAAGTCGAAGGCGTGTTTGTGAGGCCGAACAACATCCCTTGGAATTCATAGCTTCCGTAGCGGGTGCGAAACGCAGTCTTGTAACAATCATCGGCGAAGACCCGAATCTGGTGATAACCTCAATGCAAGTCGATTTTCGAGAAATAGCGAGCGCCGCGAAGTTGATCGAGTAGGTCTATGTGCGTGGGATGGGGTATCGAGATTTTATTGTTGCCCGGCTGAGCGCGCGATAGTCTATACACATGCGAAGCCTGCCATCCTTTTTCAGTGTGAACACGATCGGGGCTGCGAAAGGAGATGTACTGGGTTGAATAAACCCCTTCTCCAACATGCCATCAATTTGGCTTCGCAGCTCCTCGAGTTCCGGTTGGGGTCAACCGCCACTGTGTAAGAACAGTCGGCTGCGCGCCAGTTTCCATCTGTATTCTGTGGTTCTTGGGTCGTTCGGGTGGCAGTCCAGGTGGCATATCGTCGGGGAAGATGACGGGGTACTGTTGACTCAGCTCTGCTAAATCAGGCGGTACAGCTGCACACATCTTCTCGATGTCCTGTTCTTCGGTGTCGGTCGCCAACTCGCGCAAACATACGGCGAACAGCTGCGTGCCTCGGTTGAAGTGGCGAGCCATAGTGATAGCTTTGACGCACTGGGCTTGGATGTGGTCGGGTGTCCATGCGGGCAGTTTAATTAGCCCCTCGTGCTTGCTGATGCTGCACGATCCTATTGTCCAGTCGATGATGGGGTTGTGTCATCGCAGCTAATCACGTCCCAGTAGTACGTCACAACCGTCCAGTGTCGTCGCAAGAAACGTCATGCTGAAGCCGAAATTGTCGCCGGATTCGATCCGTACCGTCCGTGTTTTCTCCAAAATCGCCAGAGGCTTCCCATCTACGAGGCGAGCGTCGATTTCGGGCGAACACATGTCAAGTTGCAACTTGCATTTTATTGCTGTCGCCACATTGAAGATGCTATGGTTGGCCCCACCATCGACGAGCATTTTCAGATTATTTTTAAACACTGTGCCAATGACCAGCACAAGGTGATCCACATGGTTATCCCCGTTATTTGGCCAAGTGCGATCGATTGTGTGAATCGGAACCACTACTCGGTGTGGATTTTGGTGTTCGGGCAATGGAGCACAGTCAATAAGGGGCCCGTTAATTGCTGACTCTTTCCATTTCCCTGCTCCTTCCTGTCGTTCCTGTTCACCGGCGTTTTCTCGGGGCAGTCGCTCATGTAGTGACCCGTCTTCCCACACTTATAACACGTCCCTTTACAGGGCCGGCCAGATGCATGGACTCCGTTGATTGTGGCCCGTTGGGTCCGGCCGCAAGAACGGTTTCCCTCCCGGGAGACTGCCCTCACATACTGCATCTACGCGTCTATAGACTCGGCCAACCGTATAGCGTCCAGGAACGAAGTCGGGCGGCATCGGCGCACCTCGAGCTGTATCTCGTATTTTAGGCCGCCGATGTATTTATCTAATCGCTCTGCCTCCGCCATGTCGTCCACTTGGTCGGCGAGTGTCATAAACGACGCCATGTAGTCCTAAACAGATGCCAACTGCGACCAAGCACGCAGCTTCATGCGAGCTTGCTCCGAGGTGGATACGTGCTCGAAGCGATCTCGTAAGGTTGCGCCCCACTCCTTCCACGTGCGTATCTTGGTCACTCCGAAGATTGATGTTGCCACTTGATTAGCTGAAGTCGAGGTCCTGTTTGCCGCATGTGTCACACCTGTCGGAGTCCCCGTGTCCAAGGTGTGGCGCCACCATTCAAGCGCTGCGCCTCGAAGAAGAGAAATCACATAATTAATACGCGTGGCATACGTTCGCTGCAGTGAAGAAGACTTCAATGCCGAAGAGCCACCCTTGTCAGATTTATATGACATAGCTACTGTACAGTTTTCTAGGGTTTGCTTTTGTACCCAACTTTCCTTTAGTCATTCCATTCCTCGTTTCTTCTCATGGTATCGAGCAGGTTCCCTAGTGGGAACACTTCCTAGGGCCCACCACGAATTTTTTTTTTTTTCCTGCCCGGAGCGCGCTTCGCTCCTGCCCGAGTCGCGCCCTATGTGCCTTCCCTACCGTCGCGCCCTCTCACGGCCCCTCACGGCCCCTTCGCGTCGCCCTTAGCGGCCCCTCTCACGGCCCCTTGCGCCGCCCTTACGACCCCTCGTGCCACCCTTACGGCCCCTCGCGCCGCCCTTACGGCCCCTTACGGCCCCTCGCGCCGCCCGTCGGCCCCTCGCGCCGCCCTTAGCGGCCCCTTACGGCCCCTCGCGCCGTCCCTTACGGCCCCTCGCGCGGCCCCTTACGCCCCTTACGGCCCCTCCCGCGGCCCCTCACGGCCCCCTACGGCCCGTCGCCGCCCTCCGCGGCCCCTCGCGCCGCCCTATCGCGGCCCTGTCGCCGCCCCCCCCCCCCTCCGGCCCGTCGTCGCCGCCCCTGCCGCAGCAGCCGCCGCCTTCCCTACGACAGCGGCCGCCGCAGTCCCTGCAGCAGCAGCCGCAGCCGTCGCCAGCAGCAGCCGCCACCACCTCCCTCGGGGCCGCAGCTGCTGCCGCCGCTGACTGCACCCGCCGGTGCGCCTCGGCCCTACCGGCGCCACTCCACCCGGCCCCGCCGCCGCTCCCCGAGCGGCCCCGCCGTCACCACCGAGCCGCCGGCGCCGCCGAGCTGCTGCCGAGCTGCCCGATCCACCCGAGCCGCCCGAGCCGCCGCGCCACCTGAGCCGCCCGTGCTGCCGAGCCGCCGTACCGCCGAGCCGCCCGAGCCGCCCGAGCCGCCCGAGCCGCCGAGTCGCCGAGCCGCTGTTGCTGCCGAGCCGCCGTACCGCCGAGCCGCCCGAGCCGCTCGAGCCGCCGAGTTGCCGAGCCGCTGAGCCGCCGAGCCACCCGAGCCGCCCTGTCTGGTAAGAGCAGCGCCTCTGTCACTGCACTGCCCTTACCCTACTGTTCGCGCTGCTAGTCTACTGCTGTCATGGCTACCCCTAGTGTCCTCGCTTTTGACGCTGAGGGTCGGGCCATTGACTTTGACGTCTGGATAGATGACCTGCAGCTTTTCCTACAGTGCGATAGGGCAGACGGTCTCTCCCTCTTTGACCTCACCTCTGGTGCCTCTCCTGCCCCTGCTGCTGATGCCGATGCCACTGTTCGCTCACAGTGGGCCACTCGCGATGCTGCTGCACGTCTTGCTGTGCGTCGCCACCTGCCTACCTCTGAGCGTGCGCACTTTAGCCAGTACAAGAGTGCTCAGACCTTGTACGACGCTGTAGTTGCGCGCTACTCCTCCCCTGCCACTGCTGCACTGAGCCGCCTCATGCTACCGTACCTCTTCCCTGACCTTGCTGCCTTTCCCACAGTCGCTGACCTCATTACGCACCTCCGCACTAGTGACACTCGCTACCGCGCTGCGCTTCCTGCTGAGTTCTGCGCCAAGAACCCCCCCCCCATGTACATCACCCTCTATTACATAGTCACCCGGCTCCCTGACTCCCTTCGCGTAGTCAGGGACCACTTCCTCTCAGTTTGCCCCACCACTCTCACCGTTGACCTCCTCGAGAAGGCCCTCCTAGCAGCAGAAAAGAGCATAGTAGCTGTAGGAGCCTCTCGTGGTGACCCTCGCACCCCCATCTTTGAGGGGTGTTCCCCCTCCCCCCTTTTGCCCTCTGTTACCTCTGCTGCTGCGGCCGACCTCGTTGGGCTTGAGTCGGTCGGTGCGGCGTCTACCCCTAGCGGGAGACGCCGCCCTGGCAAGGGCAAGGGGGGCAGGGGCACTGGAGAAGCTAGCGGGGGCGGTGGAGGCGGCGGTGGAGGCGGTGGAGGGGGTGGGGGTGCCGGTGGGGGTGGTGGCGGGGGTGGAGGTGTCGGTGGCGGCAGTGGAGGCGGAGGCGGCGGCGGCGGTGGCGGTGGGAGCGGAGGTGGCGGCGGTGGAGGAGGCGGCGGCGGAGGAGGTGGAGCTGGTCGGGGTGGCGCTGCGCAGAGGGTCGGCTCCGGTGGTGGTCAGCGCCAGCAGCAGCAGCAGCAGCAGCAGCAGCAGCAGCAGCAGCGCACTCGTGACATCCCCCCCCCTCAGCAGCTCCGTGAGTGGTACGCTGCACGCCAGCGGGGTGGGGGTACTGGTCCGTGCACCTACGTCCTACGCACCGGAGACCGCGCGGGTGAGCAGTGCTGGGGTGCGCACTCCACCCAGCGCTGCTTTGGCCGCCTGACGGACGCTTGGCGTCACCAGTTCCCTGAGGCCACTGAGATCCCCCGCTGGGGTGAGCTGTCTAGGGCGGGTGTAGCTGTCTTTGACCTTGACTTTGATGCTATTCTTGCTGCCATGTATACTGTGACTATTAGTGATGAGGGTGACTGTTACCGGTGTTTTCCGCCCGACCCGGGCATTGAGTCTGCTGCACTAGGTACTGGTGAGGCTGCTGCTCTAGGTGCTAGCGAGGCTGCTGCTCTAGGTGCTCGTGCGTCTGCTCCCTCAGGTGCTGGTGAGTCTGCTCTCTCAGGTTCTGCGTCGGCTTCGGCCTCCCACACCTTCACCCTTGACTCGGGGGCTTCTCGCTCCTTCTTTCGAGACCGCACCACACTCACGCCGCTTGACCGGCCAGTTGCAGTCTCTCTGGCAGACCCCTCTGGGGGTCCTGTCCTTGCTCACTTCTCCACTGTCCTCCCGTGTCCGGCGGCCCCCTCTAGCACCCTGTCTGGTCTTTACCTCCCCTCGTTCTCTACGAACTTGGTGAGTGGTGCTGACCTACAGGATGCGGGGGTTCACCAGTTCACTCCTGCAAGTCAGCGGGTGACCCACTGCACGGACGCTCGGACAGGCCGACACCTGGCCACGTTTACACGTCGGCCGGGGTCGAGCCTGTACACACTGACCACTGCGTCTTCTCCAATCACTGCGTCTGGTCAGGTAGCTGCGTCGGGTCAGATGTTGGCTGCAGCGTCCAGGTCTGGTCCTGAGTCTGCCCCCTGTTCGTGTCGCCTTCTGTCTCACGAGACTCTCCTCTGGCACCACCGCCTTGGTCACCCCTCCCTGCTTCGTCTCCGAGGCATGGCCTCCCGTGTCCTTGTCTCTGGTCTTCCCCGGTCCCTCCCTCCCCTTCCTCCGGGGCCTGGCCCTACCTGCGTCCCCTGTGTCGAGGGGCGGCAGCGGGCTGCCCCTCACTCCTCCCAGTTTCCTCCGACAAAGGCCCCGCTGCAGACGCTTCACATGGACGTGTGGGGCCCGGCCCGCGTCCGTGGACAGGGTCACGAGCGTTACTTCCTGCTGGTGGTTGACGACTACTCGCGTTACACCACAGTCTTCCCCTTGCGCAGCAAGGGTGATGTCACTGAGGTGTTGATCGACTGGATCCGCGCAGCTCGTCTCCAGCTCAGGCAGAGCTTCGGCTCGGACTTTCCTGTTCTGCGTCTGCACTCTGACAGAGGTGGAGAGTTCTCCTCTGGCCTTCTGCGAGCCTACTGTCGTGCACGAGGCATCCGCCAGACCTTCACGCTTCCGGACTCTCCACAGCAAAATGGGATTGCTGAGCGCCGCATTGGCATGGTCATGGACGTCGCCCGTACGTCCATGATGCATGCGGCTGCCCCCCATTTTCTGTGGCCGTTTGCGGTTCGGTACGCGGCGCATCAGATCAACCTTCACCCCAGAGTCTCCATGCCGGAGACCTCCCCAGCTTTGCTGTGGACGGGGAAGGTTGGCGATGCGTCTGCGTTCCGTGTCTGGGGATCTCGGGCGTTTGTCCGCGACTTGTCTGCGGACAAGCTGTCCCCTCGTGCTGCTCCTTGCGTCTTCCTTGGCTTCCCCCCTGACGCGCCAGGGTGGCAGTTCTACCACCCCACCTCTCGCCGTGTTCTGTCCTCCCAGGACGTCACGTTTGACGAGTCGGTCCCCTACTACCGCCTCTTCCCCTACCGCACTCCGTCCCTCCCCCCGCCACCGCTCTTCCTTGTGCCAGGTCCCCCCCCGGTAGACCCCCTCCCCCCTCAGGGTCCTGCCCCTTCAGGTGTGTCCCAGGTAGACGCAGTCGAGCCTGTCGAGGTTACTGGTGACTCTGGTGCTGCTGAGGGTGCTGAGCCTGGGGGTGCTGACTCTGGGGGTGCTGAGCGTGTGGGTGCTACGCCTGGGGGTGCTGAGCCTGAGGGTGCTACTACTGGGGGTCCTGAGCCTGGGGGTGCTGAGCCTGGGGGTGCTACTACTGGGGGTGCTGAGCCTGGGGGTGCTGAGCCTGGGGGTGCTACGCCTGGAGGTGCTGAGCCTGGGGGTGCGGAGCCTGAGGGAGCTGGGCCTGCTCGTGTGGCGTATGGCGGTGCTGAGCCTGGAGGTTCTCCGGGTGCTTCGTCTCGGCGGGAGCCACTCTCTCCACAGGAGCTGCGCGAGTGGTTTGCCCGGCGCTGGAGGCGTGCTGCTGGAGCTGGAGGTTCTTCGGCTGCTGAGGGTGCTGGTGCCGCGGGTCCCGGAGGTGCTCGTACTGGGAGTACTGGAGCTGCTGGGCCTGCGGGTACGACTGGAGCTGGAGCTGCTGAGGGTGTTGGCGCTGAGGCTACTGCTGTCAGTCCTGGAGGCGGTCCTACTGGGGGTGCTACTGGTGCTGCTGGAGGTACTGGAGCTGGAGGTGCTGCTGGCGCTGGTGCTGCCGCTGGGGGTACTGGTGCTGTCCCTGCTGTGTCTGGAGTCGCCGCGCGGCCTCGGCCGTACTTCGTTCCGCTCCTTCAGCAGGTTCTTGGTCTCCCGCCTTCTACTGGTCCTCCTCCTCCCTTAGAGTGTCCACAGCCTGTCCCGTCACAGTTACAGTTACAGCCGGCCTCCCCACTGCCCGCTCCTTCTCCCTACACTGGTCCTACTGGAGGTCTTACTGAGCGTCGTGAGCCTGCGTCTCGCCCTGCGTCGCCTGTCCGTGCTGCTCGCACTAGTGGTCGTGGTTCACGTCAGCGTCCTCCTCCTGTCCCTGGCACGCACCGGATGTCTCTGCGTCCGTCCACTGCTCCTCTGCGTGCCCCTTTGCCTTCTCCTCCTGACTCCTCTCTTCCTGCTCTTCCTGACCCGGAGTCGGACTCCCTTCGTGCTGCCAGTCCGACTGTCACGCGTCTCCTTGCTACTGTTGTCACTGACCCTTCCTTTGAGTCCACTGCTGCGTCTGCCCTAGTTGCTGAGCTCGTCGACTTTGCTGCTCGCTGTCGTCTAGACTACGCTGCTAGTCTTGTTGCTGAGTCTGAGTCTGTCTGTCCTCCGTCCGTCGGGGGTGAGTGTGCCCTTGGCACGGACGTCCTTGAGGACAGGCAGGAGGAGTTCCAGTGTCTGGCTGCTGCTTCACCTCATCTCGTGTCCGTACTGCTTACCCCTGAGGGAGACCCGGATGCACTTGACATCCCGACTCCGCGCTCTTACGCGGAGGCGATAGAGGGTCCTTACTCCTCTCAGTGGCAGGCAGCTATGGACGCAGAGATGGCTTCCTGGAAGTCCACAGGCACCTACGTTGACGAGGTTCCCCCGCCTGGGGCGAACATCGTCAGTGGCATGTGGATTTTCAGGGTGAAGCGGCCGCCGGGTTCTCCGCCTGTCTTCAAGGCGCGTTACGTGGCTCGTGGCTTCAGTCAGCGGCAGGGAGTTGACTACTTTCAGACCTTCTCTCCCACCCCGAAGATGACCACTCTTCGGGTACTGCTGCACATAGCTGCTCACCGCGACTACGAGCTGCACTCTCTTGACTTCAGCACTGCTTTCTTGCAGGG